CAGGCTGAGCCTATTACCTAGGTAGTGGAGATATCTTCAAGACACTTAGGTTTTCTACTGGTTTGGGCAGACTGAACCTGAGAACGCACTCCTACCAGTCCTCAGCCAAAGATGTGTGGATATTTCCAGCTTCAATGCCAAGCACTGCAGTATTAGAGGGAGATGAAAAGGGCCTGGAGGCAAAGCTGCTTCCTTTCAGTCAGGTCATTTACTGTTTTACATGTGTTGTCCTTGTTCTTCCCTTCTGGGTCAATGAGAAGTGACTCAGATAGGAAAGTATCTCTTGTTCATTGGATTAAGTCTTGAAGGAACAGAGGGGATAATTAAAGCAGGTGACAGCTAAGCTGAGCAAGTGATTTACATTCCTGCATCATTAACAATGGCTTGGAAAGCTGGATAGAGCAAATAATCTCAAAACAAGTGATTACTGCCTCAGTCAGGGTTGATGGGACGGGAAAAGATACCAGCTTGAAAGCAAAAACAAAAAAAGGAAACTAGGAAAATTTGATGTGGAAGGAAGACAAATTCCCACTATTTATAAATACATAATCAATCCTTTCTATGCATACTATAAACACACTTTAGTAGTTACTAACTCCTGTGATATTCCCCCATAGGACCACTGTATCCATGTGCTGGCCACTGGCCAGGCAAATGATATGAAAGTCCCACCCAGAAAGAGTTAAGTGCTACACAGAGGTTAGTCTAAATAATAACCTAGAGATAAGATGTACCTGCATTGAATTTAAAGGGGGGGGGGGGAACCAGGTTGGAAAAAAAATAAAGGTGAGTTAATCATTACATACAAGGAACAGGACTCGTTATAAAAATAAATAATTTTGCTCCCTACCTTCCTGTCCTGGTGAATATACAAAACATCACTAAATCTCAGGCACAGCGTACAAGACATGCCTGGGGCAGAGGGGATAGCTATAGTGAAGTCCAGTGGGAATTTGGGAAGAGCAGCAGAGTTAAGGAAAAGCTTCGTACTTGTGGTCTGGTCTGATCTGTTTGTCCCATATCCTGCACTAACCAGCATCCCTTATGTCCCAGTCCAGTACCAAGGTGGAAACCAATGTGGAGAAAGCTGCCAACCTTTCTGTACCCATCTGCAGCTCCAATCTATAGTAGACTGACCTGCTACCAGGTGTGAAAGACACAGCGCTCTACTCAGCAGGGTGCTTTGAGCCTACAGCTTGTCAGATTGAGGGGACACATGCCCTTTCCCCAAGGGCACTTTCCAATAGCTGGGTTGCAGGAATCACCCAACCTTTACTTGCTCAATAGGCTCGACAGAGGGCTGAAGTGTCTTGCAAATCTGTGGTAATATAATGGTTTTAAAGGTAGGCAAAGACATCTTGGATCTTGGCCATATATTGTAGGGAACTGTAGTAAAATCAATTAGTAGGAATAAGGCTGCTGTGACTAATGAGCTAATGAGTGATGCCTGAGTGGAAGTGGCTCTAAGAGAGCTGCAGGGTTGGATTCCTGATGCATTATTCATAGGGATAGGCCAGATTCAGGCTTGGCACTGTTTATGTTTTAATTTGCTTTTCCAGGTTTCTCTTTAACTTTTAAAGACGCTCCGTATCAATGGAGGAAGTGGAGGAAGGCAAAGATATCTGTTCCTTTCTTTTAGGTGTGAAGTAGCTCTCATCTCTGGACGATTGTGGCCTCTGTGAGAGATAGATGGGGGACATGGTGCATCACAGGTGAAGTCCATGGTAATTCAGTCCCTGGCACTCTGCAGACCAGCAGGTTTACTGATTAGACTAACCTGTTCTTTCTGTTGGCTTCCTTAAGTGGCTTTCACCACCAGCACTGTTTTGAAGCTACTAGGAGAAAATTGAGTTGTTTGAACAAATATCTTTAGCCTTTCTGATACAGAGGTTGTATTGTTGTTATGATCAACCCTACAACAGGCACAAACTTAATATCTACAATGGGGAAACTGAGGTTAATTTTCCAAGGTCAGCTAGGAAATCATTGACAGAGATAGAATAAACCTCTAAGTATGTGGCTTTCAGGCCAACACTCACTCCTGTTGCTTCTAGCAACTCATGCACCTCCTATCCAGGTTGCACAAAAATAGCAGAGGAGCGCTGATGAAAAAGGAGCATTACCTGGTGGTTAAACCACACGGAATGCAACGCTGGCTGTTTCTGAGTAGTTGCTACTACCTTGCTCCATGATCCTAGTTAACCTTTCTGCATCTCGGCTTCCTTATATCTGATTTTGAAATAGTAATATTTACTCATTTACACAGCAAAAGATTAGCACAAGTATATGGCTGTCCTGTCACATCCTTCTACATCTTCCTTTGAATCCAGTCATAGCTTTTGCTCATACATCTCTTTGCTCTGAAAACCTGTGGGATTCCTAGGAGATATGTATAGAGCTGATTAGAATCAAGAAAATGGAGAGTTTAAAATGATCAAGTCAAGAAGGCTCTCAATTGAAACCGGTGCCTGCACTTCCCTAAGCACGTACACAGCCCATGGTCCCTAAAACTCTGCCCTGGAGGTGGATGGGCATGTCTTAGAACTTCCCAGCAGGACCTCCTCAGGCTGATAATTAAGCAGCATGAGCCAGTCTATAGGGAGGTTATGGGATTTGGAGACTATTTCCAGCATGGATGCAACTGTTGCAGGACCGCTCACATCAGATGAAGATGCCTCCACCCAGAGGCTGTCTCAGCTGGGAGGTAGGTAGCCTCAGGTAGGACAGGGAAGGGGTTTGGCACAGGTTTCTCAGGCTAGAAGTAAACGTTTGACTGAACTTTCTGTTTTATTTATGATAACAAACTCATCTGAAATACAGAGAGTTCTTGTACTAGTTTACCTTTGAACACATGCACACTAGAAAATGCCTCTTTTTTCCCAAATCCCTCTTGTTGAGGCAGACTTATACAGCTTGTATCTGTATTTTAATTTTTTTCCCCCTCTGTAGTTAATGGAAAACCCCCAACACAATAGGCTGTGATTACACAAAAGAATAAAAGGAGTTCAACAGAATGCCATTTGGATATTCCTACTAGTTCTTGTTATTTGTTCGGTGACTTGCCAACGCTGCAAGGCAATTGCACAGGGTGTGCATAAAAGAGGAAACATTTCAGGCTTAAAGACTCAGATAAGATCAACTGAAACTATAAACAGGTGAGGTATGGTGTCACCTGCCCAAAACAACCCTCCAAACTGCAGGAGGGTATAGGATTTAAGCAGGGTGTTGGCGTATATTCTTCCATGCAAAAACTTAAAATGTAATGACGATCACATTTCAGATGTGCATGTGAAACCAATCATCTAGCACACATTGTTTGAGGCTGCTTAGTACCAGAAACCAGAAACCACACCCCTTTACATGTTTAGTTGTTGTGGGTTTTTTCCCTAAGAACAAATCAAAAACAATCAGCATATTAATCACAGGATCACAGAATGTCAGGGATTGGAAGGGACCTCGAAATATCACCTAGTCCAACCCTCCTGCCAGAGCAGGACCACCTAGAGAATATCACACAGGAACGCATACAGGTAGGTTTTGAATCTCTCCAGAGAAGGAGACTCCACAGCCTCTCTGGGCAGCCTGTTCCAGGGCTCTGTCACCCTCACAGAGAAAAAAATATTCCCCCTTTCTTAACAGGATTACAAAATTCTCTGCTGAACATGAGGAATACCAAACGGAGGGTATACCAAAATACCTTTTGTGAGATAATTTTGGGCTCGAAAAAGCTGCTAAACTTTCATAATCAACATAAAGACTGTATTATGGAGTCAACTGTGAAAACAATGGGTCCAAATTACTGAGAGTGTAGGTCAGCCAGAAGTGTTTATAAATGAGGCAAGACTTGCTAAAATGATGAGACCACCATCACTGGAGCTTTAGGTTTGGAGGGATGATGATTGGGTTGTTTGTCTGGGAATAGCAAAAGAGTATCTCCAGTAACATCTGTTTCAGCTTTCCCTCCTTTCTTTCCTTGTTAAAAGTGGGGGGCACCTGGCATAACCACAGAAAGGCTTTTCTTTACCAGTTTTTGCAATTCCACTGTCGAACTTGCTGATCACACATTGTAGGAGGATTTACTAGCATGGGGCTGGCCTGAGGCACAGGAAAAGCAGGCAGCTGCCTGGGGCAGCAGGGTTTGGGGATGGAAAAACCCAGGTGTCTGGCAAGCAAAGAAGTCATGGGCTTGCCACCATGCTTGGAGAGGGTTGAGTCAGAGCAGAGGGGCTTCTCCGTGCCCTGTCCTCCCTGAATGGTTCGGGATAGCGAGCCTGAGACTCCCTTGGCCCAAACATTCATGGCCTGGTCCTGTTGTCTTTCCGGTGCTCTTGCTACTTCTGTCTGTAGAGAACAAGGAGAAGAGAGAGAGGGACAGCATGCTCCCACTCAGAGCTCCCTGAAACCCTGCTCACAGCTTGGGGAGAGCTATTACAGTACAAAACCCCCAACTGTGCTTTTTCCAGTGAGTGAAGGATTGCAAGTCAGCTTTCCACTTCTCCTCCTGGTGAAAAACTCTGGCCCCTGCTGAGGGTAAAAACACAGAGGAGAAAAGTACATGAGGTTCAATGCTTTGCTGTTCACAGCTACAGATGCTTTTTTTTCTCCCCAGAATTTGTGGAAACCACCCAGGTATCTTTAACCCCTGCAAAAAAGAAGTACCACCAAGCTGCAAGGCAAGGCATAGACACTGGGATTATTTAATACCCCTGGGTTCACACATGCCTAGACACAAAGCATCCAGTTTAAACAGCTATTGTCCACCCTACAAATCCTCATTTTCTTCTCCAAGGAACATGAAAAGAAATTACAGTATGGCAGGAGGTGGGGCCTGCTTCGTAGCTCATTCAATTCCTTTATAGCTTAATCAGACTCGTTTTTCCAGTAGAATTGGATCTGGGGTCAGAAACGGTACATGGCAAGCCACCAGGAGGTGTACCATTAAAGCCAGTAGTGAATAGCGGTGGCAGCCCAGTGACCAGGCGACCGGGTGTCCACACAAGATGAAGGTGTTTATGTCTCTTCTGTTGGTTGCCATCACTTGCATGGAGTTCGGTGAGTATTTACACAATGCTCTGATGATGGGGTGGGGTGCATCCTGTTCCCTCTGTAGTCCATGCCTCCCTCTTTCAGCAGTTTTCATGAAAAAAAATCTGTCTTCGGAATATTTCCAGCCTGTTGGATGTTCAGGAACATTATGGTCTCGTTGGGATTGTTAGTTCACTTCTTTAGGAAGTGTTACAAGACAAAGTGTGATTATACTGTGTCATTTCTTTAATGCAAATTCCAGCTCTCACTTTTTATGCGTTCTTGCTCATCTTTTTTATTTATTTTTTTTTTTAACTCTCTGTTCCTCTTTTGATACTTAACTCTGAAACCACCTAGCCAGTTTAATGCAGTGTGTGTAGCAGCTCTTTCTGATTATATGTTGCGTGTGTGGTTTATTAAACTTTAGCCATTAGAAGTGGGAAAGATGGGCTGGGACACAAAGCTGGTGGCCCAGGTACTGCAGGGCTGATTTTTCCAGCTCTATTTAGTAAAACACTGTGGTTTGCATGAAAGTCAAAGACAATTTTGACAGGCCACCTTAGAAAAGGAACAAGTGTGAAGCGTTTTGGGGATTTTCCTCATTTGCAGAAGGTTTTGGGAGTTGGTCACCACAGGGAGTGACCTCCACCACCCTGCCTCCCTCCTTTCTGTCCCTGTTAGGCTGAGGGGGTATGCTTGAAGCACGCAGTTGAGGTGGGCAGCCCACAGCAGCCTGATATTGGGGGTGACCCCTCTGGGATGTCGAAGTAGGGAGCAAGCCCCATGGGTCCAGTCTGCAGAGGGATGCCGTGCAAACCTTACCCCTCTGTTACTGTCAGTGGGATTCAGTTGCTTCTCCTCTATCACCAACTCCACAAAGGCAAGCACGGAGAGATGTTTGGGATACGAGTGTTTTAATTCCCTAGGAAATAGGGAATCCCCTCATTGCAGGTAGTCCTGCATGAGTGGTGATCCCATAATCTCTGATGGCGAAAGGTGACTGCATAGTGGAAAGGACACCCTGGCATAGACTCCCTATCCCTCGATGCTGCCACCAGAGTAACTTCTTGCACAAAACCTTATTTTATACTGACAATACCAAGCTCAGAGTTCATGTTAACTGGGGTGGCCAAAGAAAGTCCAGTGCAGGGTAAGTGCAGGAGCTGTGATTGTTAATTGGGATATTTGCATGCTCTGCACTACTCTTCCAGATCCAGGCAGTGCAGGGTCTGCTTTTACCTGTGCCTGACTGGGATGTGGAGCCATGTTAGGATTTTTTCCTTTTTATTTATTTCCTTCTTATATAAGGATGTTTTCCCTTCTCTGTCTTTGGGTCTGCACAGCGGATTCAGCAAGAGAGGGACAAGTGGCTGGAGGAAGAAGGGGGTTTTGGAGGATTTTAGGGGAGAACACAGCTGCTGTTTGGAGAGGCAGACCCAGAGCTGGAACAGTAGCCCTCTCTTTTGTGTCATGCGCTGACTATCCTGTTATCTCTAAGGCGTGTGTCTTGGCTCTGGTTACTACTGGCTGAAAGCCTTGGGGTGCTTCTGCTGTGTCAAGATCAATGGGAGCTTCAGGTGCTCACCACAGCTGCTACAGTAGAGATCAACCATCACCGGTCTCCTGAGCAGGAGATGTTTCCTTTCATCATTATACCCTGTTCATTCTAGGGATCCATGTCTGCTTGTCACCAGAGAGACAGCAGTTCAGAGATGAACATCATTACTTAATAAAAATTGGAGAGAAGGGGACTCTGTGGTCAGATGTCCTTAAGGCACGGAGAAGAATCTGAAAGGCAGAATGTAGCAGGAAAGCAATGGGGTAGGATACAAATTTGGTATAGGACTGACCTAGGCAAAATCTAATTTGGCCATCCTGCTTAATGAGACTTTGTCAAGAGTTGGGCACCTGGGGAGCAGAACACCCTGATATGACCCAGTGCTGCCACATTTCTCCCTCCTTGTCCTTCTCCACTTCCCTGTCCCATTCGGGTGGGCAGAATCAGGATGGGTGCTTTGATTTGGTGGGCAAACTTCGGCAAACTTCTTCTGCATGCTCTCTTCTTGGCAAAGCTGGGATAAAACCGTGATTTATTTGCAGTTCCTCCAAGCTTTCTTCTGGACACAAGTAGAATCTGTGTAATTTTGGAAAAATAAAGTTGAAGGATGGAAGATCTGCCAATATCCAAGTGAAGCTAGTAAAATGTCTTCCAAGAAATTTCAAGATTTTCTGCTTTTTTATCTCATTTTTTGCTTTCAGCACGCTAAAAAGAATGTGCTATAACTACGTTGTAATATTTTAGCATTTTATAGTCACCTTTTAAATGAGACTTCTAATATGACTCTATTCCTTTTTACAGTGTAATTTCATTTTGAAACTACTGCATGTCTGCTTGTCTATGTTTAAGTTCATAGGGTCTTAAACCAAAAAGGGACTACTACATTTTTGTTGTCTTCTCAAGTATCTACCCTTCACAAATAGGTCAGATGATAGATTATCCAGAGCTTGCTTAAAATAGGTCTTTAAGTCTCCAGGTCATGGTGTTTCCTCCCTACTCTGTGAAATGCCAGATGACTCTTGCTGCTGAAGAGCTGCCTCATTTGCAAAAGCAAAGTTGTTTCATTCCAGCTTTTGGTTATTTTACTGTGTTAAACACTTCTTGATCCCATCTTTTCTAGCTCAAAAAAAAAAAAATAATCTATAGCTACCTTTTAACATATTTAGCTGTGTTTGAACCTGTTAGTCTGAGTGAAGTTAATGAAAATACTGGATTTGCACATGTTGGGGACAATGCTTTTCTAATCTGATGTCTCGTTGTGCTTAGTTTTTTGGTGTTTTGTGGTGGTTTTTTTTGTTTGTTTGTTTTTGTTTTTGTTTTTTTTTTCCCAAAGAGGACAAAATGCTGTGTCTTTGACTTGTCCATGATGAGTATCATGAAACCTGAGAATAGTGATGAACCTTCCTCTCTAAAGGTGTGCTTGACAGCTGTCAAACGTAGAATTAATGCAAACAAAATATAATATAAAGAGAATAATAAACTTTGCTTTGATTAAAAGCAAGATAATTGCTGTGTCTGTTTCTGAAAGGGCTCTTTCTGGCTTACTAGTTAGGGTGAAGTTGCATTATCTATTTTCGTAAGGTGACTTGCTTGCCTGAGGCTGCTGTTATGACACCCCATTTTAGGCATGCTGAGATGAGTTGAATTGTTCTTTTTCAGTGGGGTTTAAGGGGATTTCAGCAGGCCTGTCACAGAGATGGGGTGAGAACTGCTTTCCAGACCAAGGAGGGGTTGCTGGTCTGGGATGGTACCAAAATGAATTGCTATGCCTCTAAGGCACTCACATTCAGGTGTCTGCTAGGGGGTGGAAGACAGGACCGAGATGAAGTCTTGGGTTCCTCAGAAAGACCTGCAGAGAGCCAAGTGCCATGAAAAGCTTGTCCAAAAATTACTTCCTTGATGATAGGAAATACCAGACACTATGTTAGTTTGATATCTTTAACTTGGAGTGCTCTGGAAATACGGCATCAAAACAATCTGGGCTTTTCAGTGTCTCTCTCTAAAATCTCTTCATGTCAAAAGACTTCAGGCACTGAAAGACTTGGGCTATGGTTATTCTGCATATCTGAGACTCAATTGGCACCTGCAGGCTTGCAAGGGCCTTTGCAGCTCAACAGGGAGGTGATGAAGAACATCTATGAACTGGTGAGTGATGAAGCAGGGTGGGCTACCTTGGACTGGATTAGAGACTTGGGTACCAAAGTTTGTTTCTGTAGTCTCCATCTAGAGCAATACATGTCCCCATGCATTCTATTATTGTGGCCACTCTCATCTTTTTAAAATAACTTCTTACACATCCTTCTCTTGAAGCCAGAATCTCAGCACAGGGGAAGGACTGTGCTTAATTTGTTGTTATGTCTCAGTAAATTTGATGGAGACTGTTCCTTCTCTCTGGAACACGCTCCTATCCAAGAGCTCCCAGTCTTCAGAAAGAGCTGTCAGAGTGGACAGCACTAGATGAAATTCTCCCTGCTGCAACTCACATTCAAGCCTGTTTTTTCTGTGTACCCAGATCCTTCACCAAAGGGAAGTCATCTTGACCAGCTTGATAAGCTTCTATGATGAAGTGACTGGCCTGGTAGATGAGGGGAGAGCAGTAGATATTGTCTGCCTGGACTTCAGGAAGGCCTTTGACACTGTCTCCCATAAGATCTTTGAGATCCTCCCATAAGACCCTCATAGACAAGCTGTTGAGGTATGGGCTGGATGAGCAGTGGAGTGGATTGAGAACAGGCTGAATGGCCAGGCCCAGTGGGTGGTGATCAGTGGCACAAAGTCTACTTGAGCTGGTAACTTGAGGTGTGTCCCAGGGGTCAATACTGTGTCCAGTCCTGTTTAGCATCATCATTAATGATCTGGATGATGGAGCAGAGCTCACCCTCAGCAGGTTTGCGGTTAACACAAAGCTGGGAGGAGTGGCTGGCGCACCAGAGGGACTTTGACATTTTGGAGAAATGGGCTGACAGGAACCTTATGACATTCAACAAGGGAAAATGCAAAGTCATGCCCCTAGGGAAGAACAAACCCGTGCATCAATATAGGCTGGGGGCTGTTCAGCTGGAAAACAGCTTGTCCGAAAAGGATCTTGGGGTCTTGGTGGACACCAGGTTGAACATGAGCCAGCGATGTGCCTTTGCAGCAAAGATGGCTAATGGTATTCTGGGTTGCATCAGATGAAGTACTGCCTGTAGGTCAAGGGAGGTGATCCTTCCCATCTACTCAACGTTGGTGAGGCCATACGTGGGGAGTCCTGTGTCCAGTTCTGAGCTCCACAGTACATGAGAGACATGGACATACTGGAGAGAGTCCAATGAAGGGCCACAAGGATGAGTATCTTTCCTTTGAAGAAAAGCTGGGAAAGCTGTGACTGTTCAGCGTGGAGAAGAGAAGGCTCAAAGAAGAATCTTATTAACGTCTATAAATACTTGAAGGGAGGTGCAAAGAGGACAGAGCCAGGCCCTTTCCAGTAGTGCCCAGTGACAGGACCAGAGGCAATGGGCACAAACTGAAACACAGGAGGTTCCCTCTGAACATCAGGAAACACTTTGTTAGTGTGAGGGTGACAGGTCTCCTAGGGAGGCTGGGGAGTCCCCATCCTTGGAGATATCAAAACCCCATCTGGACACAGTCGTGGGCAACTGGCTCTAGATGGTCCTGCTTGAGCAGGGGGATTGGACTAGATGACCTCCAGAGGTCCCTTCCAACCTGCACCATTCTGTGATTCTGTGAGTTTGTGAGTCTCTGTCCTCTTTCTGATGTTCTACCAACGCAAAGGCAAGGAAAAAAGCAGAGTTGAGGTAAACCAGCTACAAGGTCTTTCCTGCATCGTGGGATCGTCTGTGTGTGTGTGTCTCTGTCTTGCTTGACTTGTTACAAGGGGTCTGAGCCCACATGTGAGGCTGTGCTTCGACCAGCAGACTACTTATTTCTCATTCACAGGACGAATACCTTTTAGTATTCCATTTCTGTTCTCAGTATGTGTATTTTGGAAATGTTACCCTCCCCAGAGTTGCCGGGAGGGGCACAGGCAGAATCTGGTAGTCCACACTAAAGGCCCACCTCATGTTTTTCCTCCCTGCAGCACAAACCTTGCAATGTTACACTTGCTATGAACCTATGGCTGTTGATAAGTGCATGACGATCCGGACCTGCCTGAAGAATGAAACCATTTGCAAGACTACTATGTATTCCCTGGAGGATGGTAAGGGCAGTTACTTCTTTATCCATATTTTTAACATGAATCAGTGTTTCTACAGTGAAGACGACTGCTAGTGTGGGGAACAGTACTTTTTCTCACTTAAATATGTAAACCTGGAAGAGAACTCCTGCAGGGCAGAGACCAGTCTCTTGCTGTTGCAGAAAGCAGTCTTCATGTGAGTGAATACTTGGTGAATGTAAGCTCATAGTTAGTGCTTAGTGTTGAGTGTGGTTAGAAAAAACAGGTTGACTTGAGCTTGAGACAGGGAGCTAAAGACTTCTGGCTCTCCAGACCATTTGCATGACTCACACGATGGGTGTGGGGTACTCTCCTGACTTGAGAACTGCATATGAAAGCTGGTTGAAGTAGAGAGGCCAGTAGAGAGGAGCGAAGCTCAGTAAGGTGAGGACACCAACTTCTGGTCATCTGGAGGCGAAACAGAAATGCCCTTGAGTTCTCTGGAACTCTCAGGAAGGCATTGGCAATCTGGTTGGTGACCCTACAGGTCATAACCTGTGCAAATGAAGAAATGCACTGTGAAGATGGAGGATCTCTCCTTTACATGGTCCTGCTGATGCCTGGACCTCTCTTTTGCGTGTCCCTGTCACACATGGGAGAGGCAGGAAATAGTGAGTAGAGTCAAAGCAGAAGCAGAAAAAGTGCCTAATTGACCTTTTGCAGGGTAAAGCTGATCCAGGCAGGACACAGAGGATGCAAGGTGCTGTTCAGCTTGCGGCCACTCAGTGGGAACTGTTTCCTATATTCCTGGTAGGAAGCAGACCAACTGTGTTCAGACTGGAGCTAAGACTTTGGTGGTGAATGCAGCTAATGTTCCAGTATGGACAAGGAGAGTTGTCCTCCATTCCTCCCATTCCTAACTGTTTCTTCTTTCTTTCTTTGTTATAGTTTATCCCTTCATGGGAGTCTCAACCGTCACCAAGATGTGCTCTTCCGTCTGCAGCCCATCCGATGTGGACGGGATTGGCATGACACGCCCTGTCTCCTGCTGTTACACTAACTTGTGCAACATCGATGGCGCAGCTAGTTTGAGGATCAACTTTGTGCTGGTTGGGATGCTAGCGAGTTCGGTTTGTGCTCTCTTCTGGACTAGACTGTGAGCAGCTGATGGGGAGATCTTTCCTTCTGAAGAACCCAGTGAAGAAGAGAATAAACCCCTGCAATCCCAGCTTTCCATTTGGATGCCTCATGGACAACCCTCAACAGCTCCCAGAAATTACTTTTTTAGTACCTGCCCTTTCCCCACAACCAAGAGAGAAGAAAAACTCCGGAAGTCCCGACACAAATTTTTTAATTGACTCTTCAACAGCTCCCACAAATCTAACCATGGAGTTTCTTTGCTGTGCTGATCTGGTTGGTTTTGAACTAAAAAAATCTGCTGTATGGAGTGTATTTTAAGTGAAAAAACTTGCTCTAAGAGCCTTCCATGTCTCCTTAGAGCATTTTTTCCCCCAGGTGTTAGCAGAATAGCTGAATTGGCCAGTCTTCTCAAGTGAAATTCAGTTATGTGGCAGGTTCTTTCCAGCCCACAGTTTTGGGCTGGCTCTTTGTTCTGTCTAGATCACCTTCTTTATACACAAGAAATTAAGGAGACATTCTATGTCCAAGATATGAGGCAGGAGACTAAACTTTGTGTGCCAGAGATGTGATCCAAGGAGGATAAAATCTTTTGTTTTCTCTACCTTTTGAGCAGAATAAAAAAAGTTGTGTTAAAATTCTAGTGATCACTAAAGTTATTTATAGTGCACCTGTCCTCTGATAAATTTATTTTATTTTATTTTATTTTATTTTA